TCGCAGATTTGCCGGCTGGATGTGGAGATCCTCGGACTGAGGAAGCAGAATGAGATAGCGAGCTCGGAGTTGGCGTCGACCCACGAGAGAAATTCTACTATTTATCTGAAGGATGCAGCCACGGCGCATCAAATAGCCCGTGACGTATCGATAGTGGTCGAGTAGAAATTAGCTCGGGCTATCAAACATGCTAGGGCAGAGGCGAGGAGAGAAACCCTGGAGGAGATCGAGGTCAGAGGCATTGATCTGTCAATTGATCTTGAGCAGGCCCGTGAGTCGGAGAGAAAGTTGGCGCTCTTGATTGCCCAGATGAGGGCGAAGATAGTGGTGATGAAGAGTAGGCCTTATGTCGCTTTGCTTTCTCCCTTATTTCTTTTGTACGCAATCCTGGGGAAATGAACTTTGTAGAGATATCTCTTGTAAATATATTTTTGGCAATGCAAAAAAGGGGTTTTTTCTTCTTTCCGTCTTTTCGTTCTTTTTACCTCGCCGCTCTCGTGGAGTTGATCTTCGACTTTTGACGTTAACTCTTCGAAAACCGCACTCGGAGCGACCAGGACCCCTAAATCGGGTCCTGTCTCGAAGTTAGATCGACAGCTTCTTTAGGGCCGGTGTTAGTGATATCGAGGAGCCCTCGAGGCCTCGCTACTTCTCAAATTTTGCAGGGTAGCAGCATTTGCGCAATCTGGTAAAGGGACCCCGGGATGATCCTGCTAGTACATTTCCCTAGGAGAGGGTGATGTTAATGCGGCCAGAATTAATTGGCCTTCTGGGTAGGCAAGTAGTTGCTGCTTTGCCCCTATATATTCATTCACTTGCCATTCAAGTGGTGATTCTGCTACTTTGAAGGACTATTTCTCCCACATAGCCTGGCGCTTTGTGCTAGTTCTCCCATTGTTTCAACTCAAAGCCTTTGCCCAAATCTATATCTTTCCCTTCATATTTTATTGTAGCCATGGCTGCTATGTCTACGTTCGACCACCAAGGAGAGGGGAGTTCTGCCTACGCTCTGCGTTCGATCGGTGGTACACCATTGGTGCCCGGTGAGCGGGCCTCGAGGTGCCTTGCCTTGAGGAGAGACATCATGCTGGGGAGGCCTCCCAATGTTCCAGGTCACCGGGAACATGTGTCGAGGTTCATCTCATCAGTGGGAGAGGAAAACCTCAAAATGATCAGAAAAGATTGCAGATGGGAGAAGGTGTGGTACTGCAAGTACCTTCCTCCGAGGAGAGCACCATGACCTATGCCGAGGGGTTTTTGAGCGTGTACACGCATACTTTTGCGTCGGATCCCCCCGATCGGGTCGTGCTTGATTTCTGTCGGGGATATCGGGTTACCTTGGCGTAGGATCACCCCTTCCTTTGAAAAATAGTGCAGACGATAAGATATTTCACCGATAAGGCCGGGATTGTATTTACTCTCAGCCATCTCGTGAGGTTATATCGGCCACTGTGCCATCGGGGTTTGATCGCTCTGCAGCGTCGATCCACCCGGGCTCTTGCCGTTAACAGTGAAGAGGATGAGGATCGTGGATGGATGAATCGGTTCGTTCGAGTTTGAACGACCGATATTATTCCTGGAGAGTTTCTGCCTATTCTTGAGAAATGGAATTTCACACGTAAGTGTCGCACCTGTTTTTTCATCGTTCTGATTGGAGGCGGGCTCCGTAATGATATCTTTCTGTTCCAATTTTGTAGCAACTCCTTGGTTTCCGAACGAGGTCCCTGATTTGGCCGAGTGGTCTCGTAAGCTGGCGGCTTGCTCGACTTATGATAAGTGCAGGTGGCAAGATCTGTCCAAAGGGAGGTGGGAGGCGAAGCATCATGGTAGGCGCTTGGTGGCTTGTTTCCCGAAAATGGTGCTTTTCTTTTCAGCGTACTGACTTAGCCGCCGCAAGTATCGGAGACTTTTCCGAAATGCAGCCATGCCCTCTGGGAGAGGAGGAGAGATTGCCAACCTCAGGGTCGGGGATCAGTGATAAACGGAAAGGGCCTCCGGGGTGTGAGGGGGCTTGCTGTGGGGCGAATCCTTCTCAGTGGTTTAAAAGAGGCGATTCGACCGATCATCTGGCTTCGGAGGACAGTAAGCCATCGGACATTGGCTCGATCTTTGGTGAGGCTCAGCGGCTCGGCTTTATGGTATGCTTTGGCAACCGTTGTAAGATTATTCCGGTCCCACACTCTTCCTTTTTCATTGAATTTTCTTTCGCAGGCCTTTGACAGGCTTAAATCCAAGCTGCTTCGCTGTGAGGCCCGGTTGCGGGAAGCTTCGGATAGGGAGAAATCCCTTAAGCTTCCTTGTGAAAAAAATAAAACGAGCTGGTTTCCCTGCGGTGCGAGGCGGATCGGAGCCGGAGCCATAAGAGCTGCCTCGAAAGACAAGTATCCTATATTGCGTATGCTCCCCCTTTTATCTTTGGAGATTAATGTTATGATATTTCAGTAGGAGAGCAAGACGGAGGAGCTGGAACGGCTTTGGGGCGAAGTTGGCCAGGTCAAACGTGAGTTGGATGAGTTGCAGGCTCATGTAGATACCCAAGTTGCGGCCAAAGAGAGTGCTTTTGCCATGGTTTCGACCCTTGAGGTACAAATCCGTACCGTTCGTGCGAATGAGTCTGCACGAGCGAACATGATCGCGAGGCTCGCGTCTTTGCTCTCGAAGGCGAAGGCCGAGGTGGTGAATGTCTGGGCTGAGACCGTAATGAACACTGCTAGGGCAGACCAGAAAGCAGCGGCCTATTTGAAAAGCACACTTGTTGCTAGGGCTGAGCTTAGGAGAGCCCTTCATCGTGTGAGAATTAGCAAAGAGTAGGCGAAATGCAAATCTCAGAGAGAAACTCTCGAGGAAATCCATGCCAGGGGCTTTGATCTCTCGAAAGAAATCGAGCAAGCCAAGGGGGAGGAGTACGATACCAAGTTCCTTCTGTCCGATGCCGAAGATGGCGAGAACGGGGCTGTCGGGCCATAGTCCCCAAGAGGGGGGGCATTTACTTTCTTCTTTGCTTTTGTGCATATAGATTTCACAGTATGTTGCAAACGGAGCTTGCATTTTATCACCTGATATATAAGGGGGAGACCTCGCAATTTGCATCTTCTGTGTTCCTGTTTGTCAAGATTTTAACCATGTCAATTCGACCTTTGAGTTACTAAGAATCCTTAGATTCGTGGTACGGCCTTGAGGCTCGTTAGGCTGGCGACTATGGCTCTTATGCTTTGCCCTTAGGCATATGCATTTTAACTATTTTGGGTTCAGTCTTCGAGTCGGGCTTCGACTCGAGCTCAATCGACCCTCAAGTTTTGTATTTGTGTGGGCTGGCGACAATGGCTCTTACGCCTTGGGTTGAAGCGACCTTTTATATGTGTGGCCCTGAGGCTTATTAGGCTGGCGACAATGGCTCTTATGCTTTGCCCTTAGGCATATGCATTTTAACTATTTTGGGTTCAGTCTCCGAGCCGGGCTTCGACTCGAGCTCAATCGACCCTCAAGTTTTGCATTTGTGTGGGCTGGCGACAATGGCTCTTACGTTTTGGGCCGATTCGGCCTTTTATTGTAAGCTGGTGATAATGGCTCTTACGCTTTGGGTCGAAGCGACCTTTATTGTAAGCTGGCGATAGTGGCTCTTACGCTTTGGGTCGAAGTGACCTTTTATTGTAAGCTGGCGACAATGGCTCTTACGCTTTGGGTCGAAGCGACCTTTTATCGTAAGCTGGCGACAATGGCTCTTACGCTTTGGGTCGAAACGACCTTTTATTGTAAGCTGGCGACAATGGCTCTTACGCTTTGGGTCGAGGCGACCTTTTATTGGCTTTGTTTTCCCCTCGTTAAGGACTTTTTGAAGCAATTTTCGTCTGACCCGTCGTCAGTTCGGGAAGAACCTCGATTTCAAGTCATTTCATGGTGATGATCGAGCACCTCGTGAGGTTTGGCTCGGAGGCTGAGTATCTCGAAGCCAATGATGTGGAGCTGACGTGGTCGAAGCTCTTTTGCCTATGTCGAGGGTAGCCTGTTTAACCGGTTCTTTTCGAAGTGCATTCGAAGTAATGGCCTATGATTTTGTAGCGACGGTCGGGCGTCCCCGAGTCGCGTTAGTTTGGCTGGTGCAGCCGTATGACCGTAGTCATTTGTGCTTGGCCGGAGCCATTTTTGGTCCTGAGTGTAGTAGTTTAGGTGTCTATATCGAGGGTATGCCCTTTCAGGGATCTTACAAGTTCGATATATAGCCTAAACTTCAGGATCGAGTTTATGCCTGTAGAAAGGTCTTACAAAATTTTCATGCCTTTGAGGTCTTACAGTTTTGTTGATTCTTTGTACAAGTATGATTCATGCCTTGCTTGAGGTCTTACAGTTTTTGTTGTTGCCTTATATAGGTCTTACGAGACCGAGTCTGCCCGCTCGGGGTCTTATGGCCTCGGGTTTTTTACTGAATGGCGATTGGCGACAGTCTCCGAGTATTCGGGACGTTTTTGATGGAGGAATTGTTTTGGCGAAAATGTCGAGTTTCCTTTGGAGTATGAGATGCTTTGACAAAAGGTATTCTTTGATTTCTTGATACAAGTATACGTCGTTTGTTGTCGTGGGACTGACTATATAGGCAAGGTTCGTTCGACCGTTTGGCCCGATACATCGTTTTACTATTGGGACCCTGGGGGGATGCCCTCCAGTATTCGGGGTTGATTGCAAAGGAAGCGTCGAATACTTGTTGAGTCTTCCATAGGTAGCGCGTGGACGTTGCCTCGTTAAAAACCTTGCCGGAAAAACCCTCCTCGGGATAAAAATTCGGTCGAAGGAAAAGAGCACAACAGACGCTTCGAAACCTTAGGGTCTTCGAGCTGGGTCGACATCTCGACTTCTTTGGTCGGGGGCCTGCACAAAAGTTATCGTGAAATATAAAAATAAAAAGGGGAGATGATTATACCTCAGTGGCGATGGCGCTTTAGATTTTGGAGTTCGTTTGGTGGACACGATGTAGTCCTTTATTTGAATACAGCCGAGGGCGTGTCTTAAAAGATCGTGTGGATGACACGTTGCGATTTGTCCGCTTTGTTATTTTTGGTTGTTTCTCTTTCTCGGGACTGATTTTTAGCTCGGTCGCTGAGGAATTCCCGAAGGTGACCATTGTCGAGTAGCCGGGCCACTTCCTCCCGGAGTTGCCGGCAATCCTCGGTCCTGTGTCCGTGTGCGTTGTGAAACTCGCATACTAAGTCATAGCTCCTTTGTGAAGGATCCGACTGTACAGGCCTCGGCCATTTGGCGTCCCTGATTTTGCTGATGGCAAACACGATGTCTGATACATCAACGTTGAAGTTGTATTCTGACAAGCGAGGTACCTCAGTTGGCCTCGCGTTTCTATCGAACCCGGTTCTGTTGATGAGCCCCCGAGGATTCTGTCCTCGGTTCATCGATCGATCGTCGTGAGGCGGGTTGTGTCTCGGGGAATTTCTCCTGTCTTTGGTGTATGGCTGATACCTTTCTTTGTTTGGATTTGGCTCCTTTACTAAGAGCCTGCTTGGATATCCTGAGCCCGAGGGCGCTCCCAGCTGGTCATCCTCGACCCTAATCTTTGACTGGTACCGGTTGTGGATGTCCGACCAGGTTAGGACGGGATATTCGATCAGATTCTCTTTCAGCTGCCTTGAAGCCGCTGAGCTCCGCTCATTCAGGCCTTGAGTTAAAGCCTGCACTGCCCAGTCGTCGGAGACCGGTGGTAGTTCCATTCGTTCCGTTTGGAAGCGAGCCCTCTGCTTGATCTTGAAACGTCGGACTTCCTCATTGCTACTTTGATGGCACCGGCATGTGCCTTTATGAAGGAGTCTGCCAGCATGGCAAACGAGTCTATGGAGTTGCGATCTAGGTTTTGATACCACATCATGGCCCCCTTCGAGAGCGTTTCCCCGAACTTCTTCAGTAAGACGGATTCGATCTCGTCGTCTTTTATGTCATTGCCCTTTACTGCGCACGTGTAAGCAGTAACATGTTCATTGGGGTCTGAGGTCCCGTTGTATTTTGGGAGTTCCGACATTCTGAACTTCTTTGGAATGGGTTTCGGAGCCGCTTCCTCTGGGAACGGCCGTTGCACAAACTTCTTCGAATCTACACCTTTCAGGACCGGGGGTGCGCCCGGGATTCGGTCGACCTTGGAGTTGTAAGTCTCGACCTTCTTGTCGTTGGCTGCTATCATTTTCTCGCCCGATTCAATCCTTTTGGTGAGGTCCTCGAGCATTTTTATGATGGCGGAATCGGCTATCGACCCATTATTGTTTGACCTCTCCAGTACCTGTTCGGCAGGGGGAGTTGTCTCCGGTGCTACCGTGCTAGGAGTCTTCTGGTGACTTTGCAGCTGAGCAATAGCCAGCTGTTGTGCCTGCAACATTTCAAAAAGAACATGAAGGCTAACTTCCCGTTCTTCCCGAGCTTGGGTTTTTTGGGCTTCCTGTTGGTCGACTTGGTGTATGCTCCTGTTAGTGTGGGAGCTTGTTTCGACGTGTCGAGCGTCACATGAGTCTGCCGGAATCGGTCCTAGCGCGTTCTCAAGATTTTGTGGTGGCTCACCAACACCTGGAACAGCCACACCATTTTCTCCATGGTTCTCAATATTTTTGTTTACTGAATCAGACATTTTAACCTGAAACCGAAGAACTTGGCAAGAAAAAGCGTGAAAGATAACTTGCGTTATGTGATGAAACCGGCAAGAAAATAATCACTATTATTTTCAGCCCCACGGTGGGCGCCAAACTGTTTACTGTGAAAATGGTAATAACAATTAAATTTGTTGATGGGACTCTAAAAATACGTGATCTATTTTTATGCTAGTTGTTTAAGCAGATGGTGTTGTATGTATGAAGTTTAGAGACGAAATGCAAGCTAAAATAGAGTTGCAGTCAAACCGATGAGCTAGCCAATCGAGGCCTCGGATTGACCGATACGTGGCCTCGAGGTCAGTTCCTGGGCTCGGGCTCGAGCTATTAAGGGTAATCGGGAAGGGCTAACAGTTATAAATTAATCAGCTAAGGCTCTTTATGACCAATAATAAGCAATAAATGAAGAACAAGTATGAAAGTTATAAGTAAGAACAACAATATCGAGAGAGTATGTTAGAGAGAAAGGAGAGAGAGTTATTATATATTTCGTGTGAACAATTGGAACAACAGACCTTACAAGGTGCCAAAGACCCCCTTTTTATAGGAGGGGAATCCCAACATATCATTAATTACAAAGACAGGGGGATGGGACAACTAGATGACACTAGACTCTGCCAACACTAGCTTTCTGCCAACACTAGCTGCATACCTAGGGAACTCCCCATTCCCATCATGACCGCGTCCAACATTGTCATTAGGTCGGGTGCCAACGATCCTCGAGGGAGGGAATTCGACCATGGCCTTGCAGCCTCGAGGCCTCGAGATGATCTTCAGAGATGCTTTAATGACGAGAAATTGGACCCTCCGATTTCTCCGTATACAAAGACAACAAGAGGAAGAGGGTCTCGAAATCCGAGAAACCCCAACCTAAAAAGGTTCGGCTCGAAAACGCAGGAGAAATGTCATCCCTCTGACTATAGAGTCGGTCCGCCAGCTGGGGGAAGACGAAGAGGAAGATGACGGCGATGACTTGATGCTGGTGGTTCGAGCAAGGAAGCCGGTCGGGGCCGCCAAGCCTTCCAAGCCGGAGGTAATTGTTGAGACCCAAACTCGTGATGAGGAGGCCTCGGAAAAAGATTTGGGCAGAGCCCCTTAATCGCCTGAGGTTGAGGTTATCCCTCGGCCATCAACGAACATACTGGAGGGGGCCGGTTCTAAGACCCCCAGGGCTGAACAGAGCACCTCGACCGATTCGCTCTAGGTTGTGATAGTAGGTCAATCTCCTTCTCTACCGGCCTTTTCCGAGGAGGCTATAAGGGATGCTCGGGCTCTACAGACCCCCGACATAAGCGGAGTCCCCAGTTAAGAGGATCCCTTTTGGGATTGTTTTACCGAGGTCAATGATGCCGCTGATCTCAATGATGCGTCTACCCTCTTTGAAGAGGCCCAACGCCTTTTATCTCGAATAAGTACTAATCCCCTTTGTTGCAATTTTCTTTGCCTTCTTCTCCTGTTAACCTAACTTGTATCTTTCTTCTCATATAGGCTTTTACAAAGTCTCGGGCCGACCTGAGCCTATGCGAGGTCGAGATCCAGAAGACCTCGGAGGAGAGGAATGATTTGAAGATCCTTTGCAGTCAAAAGGATGAAGAGCTCAGGGATCTTCGAGCAGACTTGGCCCAGGCTCGTAAGGAAGAGGTCGAGCTGGACGAGCAGGTAAATGTCCTTTTGAGAACATATGGGCTTGACCCAAGAGTGGATGCTAACACCTCGATGTCTCAGTTGCAGTAAAAGATTGAAAGGATCGAGATGCTCCCGGGGTAAGTCAATCAAGTTAAAACTGACTGTAATCGGTGGAAAGAGCACATGGACCACCTAGTTGCGGAGAAATAGGCTTCCTTGGCGCGGCTGTCATCAGGCGAAGTTCAACTTTGGAGTACTAAAGAGAAGAGCTTAGCCCAAGCCAAATGGATCGAAGAGCTCGAGGCCGAGCTTGCTGAGGCCAAGGCGGAGGTCGAAAAGGCGAAGGTCTTAGCTGACAAGTCCATAGCCGTGTACCTGGGTGATGCCGAGGCTGCCCAAACTCATCTGAGGGAGGCCCCGATTAAGCACAGTGGAGTAATGATCTGGCCAAGTGCCAATCTCGGAGGGAGACCCTCGAGGAAATCCATGCTCGAGGTTTTCACCTCTTCAAAGAGATAGCTCAAGCTAAGGTGCTTGAAGCCGATGCCAGGTTTTGCCTCCTCCGATGATGACAATGATGCTGAAGGCAGCCAAGGCGAGTTTGATAATAACGAGGAGCCCGAAGGAGAAGCTCCATCCGAGGGAGAAATCAGCCCCAGGCATAGTTACGATTTCATTTTTCCTTTTCTCTTTTGTAAGACCCTTGTCGGTCCCTTGTACATATTTTTGCCCCTATATAAAGAAATTTCTCTTTTGGATGCCTTCTCAAATTTTGTCTTCAAACATGTTTCGTGCCTTGTACAATTTTAACACATTTTTATGCTTCAACAATATGCTCGAGGTTTTGGTTTCAAATGACTTGATCGAAGCCACAATAATAATACTGCTTTTATTGTCGGATTCATGTGAAACCTGAATTCGAAGCAAAAACGACCCTTAGGTTTGTTTTGAACGACATAGGATCCTCGATCTGTAGTCGAGTAGGTTCCTGTTCGAATCCGGGATAGCGGGACCCTTAGGTTCGAATCGAGCAAGAACGTGTTCTCGAACTCAAAGTGTGTTGGCCCTTCGGCTCTTTGAATTGGGCCAATATGGCCTCTAAAGGATAGCTATTTTTTCCCTCTTTCGGCTCAATGACTTAGTAAAATTTTCTTATGCCTTAGCATGTATATTTTTTTTTGTACCCATTAGTGTTGATCGAAACCCTTTTGTTTTTTGTGCCTTAGCACAAGTTTGTATTTGAATAGTTCGATACCTTTTAAGGTTTTTTGAGGGCTGACTTTATCGAAGCCCTTTGATTACTTTGCCGAGGGTAGCCTTTTTTAACCGGTTTTTGGAGAATTCGAAGGCCTATTTTTATTACGGGGTTTAGACGTATTCGAGCTGCATTAGGTTGGCCGTAGCCTTTGGGTGTGACTCTTGGTCTTACTTTCCCGTCAATCACTTCAAACTTGTTCAAAGTGTTAGTCCCCGGAGATGATGACCTTGGCCTACAAATCGAGGGGTGCCTCTTTGAGGTCTTAGATAATTCGAACATATTGATTTTCGATGGCAGTCCCCGAGTAGGGTGGTTCGAGGCGTATTTATACTTGGTCCTTGAGCCATTTACCGTTCGAGGTATAGTTGTATTCGGCCCTTGAGCCATTTTTCACAAAAAACATAAGCATAGAGCTTGTATAGTGGAAAATTTTCTTTGAGGCACAAGATATTTGACAAGGAAAAATGCTTCCTTGAATAATTTATACATGTGTACATGTTTTGCCATTGGGGCTCGATTAATCTACATGGACACGGTTCGTTCGACCGTTTGGCCCATTACAAAGTTTCCCTATCGAGGCCCTTTTGACACGATGTATTTTCCCTTGAAAATAAATTATCCGATGGTGATGCCCCCAGTATTTGAGGTTGAATGTAGAGAAGCCTCGTATACTATTGAATTGTCCCCAGGTAGCACATATAATTGTTGTCTCGTTAAAAACCTCGTCGAAAAAATCCATTTGGGATAAAAACCGATCTAAGGGAAAAAGTGTACAAAGCGTGCTTTAAAACCTAAGATCATCGTGTTGAAGAGTTTCTCGACGTCTTCGATCGGACACCTGCAATAAGTTAGCACCAGATACAAATGAAAAGGGAGAAAGTCATACCTTAGCAATAATATCGTTTGAGTGATACATTCCAATTGTTTGGCAATTGTTCGCCCTCCATTGTGCCAAGTTTGTAAGATCCCTTTCCGATGACATCGAGGACCTGGCATGGTCCTTCATAATTTGGGCCGAGTTTTCCTTCATTAGGGTCTTGAGTGTTGAAGGTGACTTTCCTTAAGACTATGTCTGCGATTCTGAAGTGGCGAAGGTTGGTTCTTCTATTATAATATCTCTCGATTCTTTGTTTTTGCGCAGCCATCTGAACGAGTGTGGCTTCTTGTTTTTCATCCAATAGTTGAGGTTAGTATTCATAGCCTCGTATTTTGATTCTTTCGTAATATGTCAAAATCTTGAGCTAGGTTCCCCAATTTCGGCTGGAATCAAGGCTACGAAGCCATATACTAAGGAGAACGGGGTTTCCCCGTACTGGACTTCGATGTTGTTCGATATGCCCAAAGGACCACGGGTAGAATTTCTCTCCATTTTCCCTTGGCGTCGTTCAATCTTTTCTTTACATTCTGAATGATAGTTTTATTCATTGACTCGGCCTGTCCATTTCCACTTGGATGATACGGTGTTGATAGTATCCTTTTTATTTTATGTTCTTCGAGAAACTTCGTTAACTTGTTGTCGATGAATTGCTTTCCGTTGTTGCATACGATTTCAGCAGGTATCCCGAATCAACATATGATGTGATCCCAGATGAAGTCTATAACTTCCTTTCCTCTGACTTTCTCAAAGGCCTATGCTTTCACATTTAGTAGTCAGTCATAAACAAAATGAATTTAGCTTTACCTGGAGCCGATGGCAGAGGGACGACGATATCCATCCCCCATTTCATGAATGGCCATGGGGATAGGACCGAATGAAGTTGTTCCCCGGGCTGATGGATCATTGGTGCATACCTTTGGCATTTATCACATCTTCGAACAAACTCCTTAGCATCTTTTCCCATACTATCCCAACAGTATCCTGCTCTGATGACCTTGTGAACTAGTGATTCGGCACCAAAGTGGTTCCCGCAAGTACCTTCATGGACTTCTTGTAGAACATAATCGGTGTCCCCTGGTCCCAAACATACTACTTGTGGTCCGTCGAACGTCCTTCTGTACAATGTTCCATCATCAGTCAATGTGAATCGAGCAGCTTTTGTTCGTAGGGCCCTCGATTCTTTAGGGTCCGATGGGAGCTTTCCGTTTTTCAAGTATTCGATATATTTATTCCTCCAATCCTAAGTTAATCTTGTGGAGTTTATCTCAATGTGACCTTCTTCAATCACTGATCTCAATAGTTGAACGACAGTCCCCGAGCTGATTTTGTCCTGCTCGACTGACGACCCCAAATTTGCAAGAGCATCGACTTCACTATTTTGCTCGCGAGGTATGTGCTGCAAGGTCCATTCTTTAAAATGGTGCAAAGTCACCTGTAGCTTGTCTAAATACCTTTGCATTCTATCCTCTCGAAGCTCGAAGGTTTTGTTTACTTGGTTTACCACCAGCATAGAGTCGCACTTGGCTTCAATGACTTCCGCCCCCAAGCTTTTAGCTAGTTCGAGACCTGCAATCATGGCCTCGTACTCGGCCTCATTGTTAGTGAGCTTAGAAGTTTTGATAGATTGTCTAATAGTGTTTCCCGTGGGCGGCTTCAAAAGGATGCCTAGCCCGGACCCCTTCACATTCGAGGCGCCGTCAGTGAAAAGGGTCCACACCCCGATGATGTACCTGATTTTAACAAGAGTTCCTTCTCGACTTCGGGTACGAGGGTTGGCATGAAATCGGCCACGAAGTCCGCTAAAATTTGAGACTTGATGGCCGTTCGGGGTTGATATTTGATATCGTACCCATTGAGTTCGACGGCCCATTTGGACAATCGGCCCGATAACTCGGGCTTATGCAAAACATTACGAAGTGGATAAGTGGTTAGTACACATATGGGGTGACATTGAAAAAACAGTTTTAGCTTCCTAGAGGC